AATATCCATTGGCACGTCGCTCCTCGACTCCCCGCTCGAGTTATGATATTTTAATAATAATGAAAGCATCGCATAAGGTGAATATTAGTGGTGTTTTGGTTGACGGAACAACGCAAGGTGTTTCCCAACATTCAGATATTCCCCTGACTAATTAATTCTTCCATTTAGATACAGTGGTGGTTCTCCAAAGGGAAGCCCCGTGGAACTGTGAAATTAGGTCAAAATGTAAATTTTAATTGATGCTTTTTTGCTCCACAAGTCACTTTATCACATGGCGCTTGACGTTTTATTTCTCCCCAAATTCTCCTTCTCTCCAGAGAGTCAAATAAACAAGAGATTATCCCAATGAGTATTCATGAGTGGAGAAGGCTATTTCCATACACAATTAATTTGTTTATATTTCTTTTCAGAATTGATTAATTGATGTTCCTCGAAATGCCTCAATTCGACCACATAAGGTCCCAATTTATTTTCACAAGTGCTCTGTGGTCCTCAATCAATGATTTAATTGACTAATTAGAGAGTCTTTCTGTCAATTACACACTCATATCTCTGACTTTGAGTTGTGTCTCCTCTCGCGTGACGCGACAGGAAGTGCGGCTTTCCACTGACTTTCCCGGCGCGGAGCTCACCAGAGAGGAGAACTTCAATGGTGAGACAGGAGAGGAGCGCGACAAGTCCTCCTCCTTTTGTCTTGCGCGCCCAGGAATTTGTGGCACATGGAAAAATTTTCAATTTCAAGTCATATTTCAAGTGATTTTTTCTCCCACTTGGAGACTCTGAAGCATGTTTGATGTTAATTTGGACAAGCCTTGGCCACTCCATTCGGCAATGTCTGAACTCGTGATGTTAAGTGTGATTTAGTGATGACGGATCTTGATTAATGGGATCTGTCGTCTCTCTATATTTCTATAAGATCACTGTGCGGACTGAAATAGAATTTATCTTCTAATTCCTCCTCTCCACGATGACTTCTCATCGGACATATCGATAAATTGGATCTGGAGACACTGATCAAGGGAAAGATAATGTGCCTTCGATCTGTACACCACTTTGTGACACATTTATAGACTGTTTGCACAATAATTCTCAAATTATGATGAATCTTTTAAGTTTCTATCTGATATTTCTATAAGAATCAACTAAAAGGCACTTTTAAGCATCTTTTCCATCCATAACCTCAAAATATCACTGAGAGATCTTCAGAGACTCCGTTCGGAAGCTTTCTACATCACAAAATCAACTGCTATGATCTTCTAATGAACTCAAAATCGTTGATTCAGGGGGAATCGTCCTAAAACTCGTCTAAATAAATATTTTTCTAGTTAAAATTTCTATTTTTGAGGTTATGTCCGATCTTGGCATCAAATGTTCAGAAAATCCATGTTTTTTTTTAAATGAAAAAGGATTATTGTGACTTTATCTAAAATATAAATCAAGAGAAATTCAGAAAATCAAGACAATTTGAAATATTGTAAAGTTTTTGAACACTTCCACTTCAGCTGTACACCACTTCTGACTGTATTATCTCTCCCTTGACACCGAAGGAAAGTGACCGAACTGCTCATTTCGCCAAGGATCCATCAAACATTCTGCTTATCTGATTTCTTAATTAATGAATTGAAACAATAAATTTCTACTCTTTCTTTGGGATTTCATGGAAAAAAGTCCGATGAAAGATTAATTGCATCGATCCTCACTTGAGCTGCACACTTGGGTCAGCTTTCCCTCTGAGATCTCCGAAGTTATTGCTGAAATGTCTATGACTCTTCGTCACTTGGGTGATCACAAAGAGCTGCGATGTTGCGACAGTTTATGAAATGTTTATAGCATTCTGATGATATATGCGGCGTTGAAAGGGTGCGTCTAATCCATCCGTGGGACGTCATTCCCGAACTGAAATATTAGTGCTGATGAAACGTCTTATCTCGGGCAGAAGACTTTCTCGAGAGGGGGCCCTTTAAAGCGCCCAAACAGCCGGAGAGTCGCTGGTAGAATTCCATGGGCCAATAGGTGAAAATATGACTTTATTGGACACTGATGGTGGAGTATCAGCGTGTGGTTGATAATTATTGTCAATATAGATTGTGCCTAATCGATATTATAAATTCAAGAAATGTAAGCAAACATCTGCTCGCCACGCTTGACTATCCGGCGAACAAACGAATATTTGTCCAGAAATTCCACAATCACTCTTTAGAATGGCAACAGCACACATGCAGGAAGAGCTGAAATCATCACCAACACGATCACGATCGCGTCTTCGCTCTGGCTGTGCCATTAATATTGTCGTAGATTACAAATGTGGGAATAAGCTGGGAATTAGAGAATAAATCAACATTGCCCGGACGTATTCCACATGTGAGCGTGGAGGAGTGTTCCCTCCTGACACTCGAGCACTGTTTTCGCCCCGAAAGAGCGCGATATTTAGGTCACCTTCTGGATGAGCAGCCCCGCGCGCGCGCTTCCCCGAAAACTCCTGCCCACTTTCTGGGGAGCTTTGCCATTGCGATATAAATTATGACACACACAAAATAATTAATACTCATGCTGGGAATCCAACTATTTTTCACACACAACAGCCAAATCGTCAAATATTTTAATTTTCACTCGAAAAGCCCGCCTTCTCGGCATCTCGGCGAGGCCTTGGAGTTCCTCACATTTTTGGTGATGGAGTTATTTTTCCACCCATTCGAAGCCGCACAAACATGAGTAATTTGATCGCAACGACAGTCAGTGCATTTGTGGACAATTTTCCCACACACACGCACCAGCATCGTAATTTGTAGCAGATGAGGAAAATTCCGGGCGGCCGCAATACAAAGTATTATGTCAATTTTCCAGCAACTGCGTCACAAGTTGACGCGAGTGAAGCGCAGATTTGAAATTCGGATCTCAAATCTGCTTCCGATTATGCTTGCAGCGATGTGGCGGAATTGCGTCGCAAAAAATTTCCTCATTCATTTGGTCGAGAGGCCTTGAAGAGCTAGAAATTCACCTACAATATCTCCCCAACATTGTGTATATAAGGCTTATTCTTCGCTCTTTTCCTCTTCTTCATTCTCTTGCACGAGAGACTCTTCGTTGTATTTTTGTGGGGCTTTTCAAGGTTTTCTCCGTCTCCTCGTATTCTCCAACTGACGAATTAAAATTGCAATTTTGAGAGCTCTTTTATGTGCGTATTTTATTATTAACCAGGCAGGCAAAAAGCACAGCTAAACTTTAGTCACATAGTAGGAATGAGCATTGAGTCGCTCAAGTATCTCGCTTTGTACATGCATTTTCGTATGTCTCTCCGAAAAGCCGTGAAGTTTACGGTTTCATGTTTTGGTTTGTGTTGTTTTTTGTCCGTTTCTCAAATTGTTTACAAACTATACAAGCTTGTTAAAATGATCTCCATCCCAGCTGACCATGTGCCGATATTAAAAGTATGAACGAATAATTGCCCGAGTTGGAGGCGAATCGTGAAATAAAATTATTTATTGCACATTTTCAGTGTTGAGTTCAAAGTCTTGTTGAAGGCACTGTCGATGGGACAGAAGCCGTGTGCATTCGCTGGCATGAAAGTCTTCCCTCCACTCTCGATTTCCCCTCAATTTTCCCTTCGTCAGTCTCTTCTTCGCGTGAACATGAAAGCTGGAACGCTTGCTCTTTCCCCTCTTCCACCACTCAATCTTTCACGGTTCTGATCGCAACTGGGAAAATGAACTTTTGAGGAAAAGTCAGAGATAATTTTAATTGGTTGCCCAGCATGAAAAACTAATGGCATGAAAAACCAGCGATAATCTCTAGAAAAACAGAAAGAATGTCGATTGAGCGGATTTTTCTCATCATGTGGAAGTCATTATTTAGCTTAAAAGCCAGAGAATGGAGTGTTTGTACGCGAGATAGGCGTAAAAAGGATCATAAATCACTATTCTACAACTGAGCAAGTGTAGTTTTTGGGTGAAAAATCGCATGTGAGTGACGGAGCAGGAAGTAAAGTTGGCCACTTTGGGTGTTGGGTGAGTGCGAAATAACGCAGTTTTTGCGTTCGTGACGGAAATTACGCCGAACGTGGTGGAAAATGACAGTGAAATTGCACTTCAAGGCCAATCAGAAGCTGAGGATGGTGATTTTGCAAGAAAATGAGCCATTCCAGTGTGGGGCGAAAGCACGCGAATCCCCCCCGTGTTGTCGTCTCGCTCGCGCTCACACGGCGGCGCTGCATTGCAGGGGGGGTCGGTCGGTCTGGCAAGTGCATGCGAGAGTGAAAAGCTCTGGCATTGGCAATGACGCGGGCATCGCGACGGTGTCACGCGACGCATGCGCAGGTGAAAAGTGAAAAAAAGGAAGCGGAATTGCTGGGCACGTTCCCATCTTCCTGGGCAGCCGGCGGAGATCCTGGCAGCAGGCGATCGTGTGGGTGGGGTGGCTTGGGACCTGGAATCGCAGGATTCAAGCTCGCCGAGGCGATGTGGCGAGGATGCGAGCGGAAAGCCGGCTCTCGGGAGGGGAAAGGCAATGAGGAAGCTGTCGCGCGGCGAAAGTGCAGAGGGGGTTGAGCTTCGTCACGCGCGAGGGGTAGACGATCCCTTCCCGACTGCCAGCATCTCACACGCGAAAAGCACGCGATATTCCTTTCATTTTCATCGTCCACCAATCGTCATTTCAGGGCCACTTTCCCCTTCAATTTTCGCTACGAGACCGGCTTCAGCATCACCAGCCACTTCTCCGTGTGCGCGAGCGAGAGGCAAGGGCAGCGCAGTGGTGTTCGTGCACCAACACTGCGCCACAGCGACCCATGTCGCGACGCTGTGGCGTTCGCGGTGCGTCTGTGTGCGCGCCGGGTCGGCTGCGAGGTGTGCGAGAGAGAGTAAAAACCGAAAATGATTTCATGCTTCCCATTCCGCCAGCGGCGCGTGTGTGTGCGTGATGCAAACACTCGTGCATCGCCGTCAGCTTTCCCAGCCGTTCTTTATACTACATATACATGTAGCTGCCGCAAAATTACTTCAGTTTCGTTTTCGCTTTTCGCCGTTCAGTTCAGTACAGAGCGAGTAGCGATAGTGATCGGTGCGCGTGTATTCTTTTCACATAAAACAAAAAAAACCTCTTATAGTAACTATATTTCATACAAAAAAAAAGGAGAAGAAAGTACTAAAGAAAGATAAATGTATAGTAGGATTCTAAAGCAAGTGTATAAAATTCTAAATGAACTCAGAACTGCTGCAAGTGCAAGTTGATTGAGAGGCAAAGGGAAGGCGTGCGATAGTGAGGAAGCGGTTTGAAATCATATTTTGGCGATTTTTGCTGAATTTGCACAGCTCGAGAGGGAGAATTTGTGGCAAATGCCGGTGCGAAGTGTTCGCTGAAATTGAGAGACTTCCTCAGCACAGCATCTCAGCTCTCCAGCAAGTTTTCTCAACTCTTGGAGTGTTTTTTGAGTTTGTGCGAGACGAACAGGACCGAGAACTTGAATGGGGACAATTTTGTATAATGAATTTTCATAAAAAGATAGTGAATTTGTTGAAAAAGGCGAAATAATCAATATTTCCTTTTATAAAATACATATAATATATAATATATATATATATATATGGATGGGCGAATCGAGCTGATGAGGATAGGAATAAACACAAAACAAAAAGGAACTAAATAATGACTGTGACATTCAAATAGGAAGCAAATTCTACCAATTTATTGAAATGTTCTCAGGAAGTGTTTTTGAGTGATTTTTGAACAGTAAAGTAGTAAAAAGAAAAAGTTGTATTGAAATGAACATAGACGATATATAGACTCGAAATATCCTCAGACTTTCTTAACCGTTTTGATATAAGACACTTAAGCATTAAGTACCAAGTAATTTAGGAGTCACACGACTAGAGTTGGTGTACTTTGTAACTATAGATTTTGTACTTTTATACGGTTTTGTACTTTTATATGTAATGCAAAAGCCCGTCAAGTCGCTGTAAGGAGACACTCACTGCCCACTGCACTTTGCGTCTCCTGAGCTGAATCCGGGGGATCAGAGTGAGCGGAAGGCCGCGTGAGATTCGGGTTTTTCGGTGAGTGTGTGTTAAGGACCCGCTACGAAAATAGCTACCCTAGCAGCTGCGTTCCACCCGCTGCAGCATCAGCACTATCCGCTGCTTGCGATGGCCCCGCGGAGGAACAACGGAGGCCACCACTCGTCGGTGGTGGAGATGCACAACCTGCTGGGCATGGACCCGGACAGCCTGGACGCCGTGCCCACGGGCAGCCCCGGGGCACCCGGCGACCCCACGCAGCCGCTGCGCTGCTGCGTGCCCACGGGCGACTGCCTGAAGGCGGGCGCCCTGGATCTGGGGCTCATCGGACCGGACGATGTTCGCGAGTGTGTCCGCGTTGTGTGCAACAACGAGCACTGCACGGCCGGCCAGTTCATGCATCGCGAGTGCTTCGATTCTTGGGAGCAGGGCGTGCTGTCGTACTTGAAGTCCATCGGCCGGGCGCGCTCGTGGTCGGAGCGCCAGCGCCAGCAGAACTTGTGGACGAAGAAGGGCTACGATCTGGTGTTCAAGGCGTGCTCCTGCAAGTGTGGCCGCGGCCACCTGAAGAAGGACCTCGACTGGGTGCCACCGGCAGCGCCGGGCACCTTTGGGCGTGCCGACGATGAGGCCAGCAAGAAGAAGAAGAAGCGCAACCGCAACCAGAAGCCCATTTTGCTCATCTCCACTGGCACAGCGAACGCCTATCATCCCAACACGCAGATCAACGGGAACGGCATCCTGGGCTCGCAGGAGATCCGCGCCCGCACCGGCTCCTTGTCGTCCAGCAACGGCTCCACCTCGCCGCCAGCCTCGGCCTCCAGCGAGCTGAGCATCTCGCCGATCCACAACGGCACTGGCGGAGGGCGGAAGCAGAAATCCAAGATTGAGCTGCACTCCGACAGGGTTCGGTGAGTGGCAATTCTTAGCAATATTAGCTCTCATAATCATCAATCTCCTTCGCAACATGCCAGCGCGACATCATGTGCAAATATTCCACATGATACAGAGTGTGTCTATCTCTAATTCTTCCCATCCTCTCGCCTCGAGCCAACCCCTATTTGCAGTAATCTTGATATACCCACCCTTGTGATCCTGGCAGAGAAATATAGCGTCGGCTTCTGCGTATCACGAGTGCCTCTCTATCGGCTTTCTTTCCTTCTGTCTGCCCCTAAAACATCGTCAATCCCGCAGCCTGTTCGGTAGGTCAAGGTGAATGAGAGGAAGGAAAGTTGGAAGAGACAAAATAGGCAATTTCTTTCCCTCCCCGGGAAACGTGTGAGGTTTTGATATGGGTGAAAAAAAAAGAAGGAGAGAAAAGGTAGAGCATTTTCGCCTTGACGGCGCGTGTCTCGGGAACTGCGTGAAAACTAAATCCCAAGACGAGGGTTTCCCCAATTATCAAAAGGAGTATACTGAACGATGTTATACCTCGAGGGTTAAAATTGTCAAATCATTCATAATAATCAGAGCCAAAAGAGGACTTGTGATGGAGAAACTGGCTTTTAAATTAAAATCTTTAATTCGACAGCAAAGGGAGAGAAGCGAGAGCGAGAGAGTGTATTTTATACCCCATCCACGAGACCTTGAAATTTAAATTACAAAGAGGGGTTTTCCCTCACCCGAAGGAATGAGGAAAAGCGGCGAATACTTCCCAGCAAGTCTTCAAATTACTTGTGTTCAAGCGCACCCCCATTTCGATCATGCTCTGAGGGATATGACGAAATACACGAAGGGAGTTTTTCGTGACTCACCCGAGGTGAGGGTGGGTTTTTTCTTCCCTGTGCCTCTGAGTCTCTGCGGCCGCAAGAGGGGGCACAAAAAAGAGTGGTGTAGCACAAAATATAGGAAGTCATTCTGATGGACTTGAGATGAAATTCCTCACGAATACCGACAAATTCGCGCGGAGTTGAATTTCTCGCACAGGTTTTCGCTCCCTTCGTGCTGATTACCTCACTTGGAATGCGAGATAATTAGCAATTACTGCAGATAGTCGCTTTATCGCACCGTGTCATGACGATCTGCCTGAGAATGAATCCATCTGCCGTCTTCCAGCTCATGTGCTCTTCATCGTCGCTGATGAAGTGCGCGCAGTTCGTCTCTCTAAAGTTACAGTGCACCAATTATAAGTGCTGACAATCTATTTATGGCTCACACCCGGATTACGACACAATAACCTCTATGTCCTTGAATCCTGATGACATTATTTAGTGCCTCCTCTGCCTGATCCTCAGCACCACGGAGGCGATGCGTGCGACTCTCTCCCAAATGGCACTCGTGATCTCTGGCTGCGCTTCCATCGGGGTTTATCTGAAAATAGATGATCTCTTTCGTGCCTCCCTCCATGCGAAGTACCAATTGAAATTGCACGGAGAGTGCATTTGGCGGATGAAATTGAGATTTGGCGTGGAAGAGAAGTGCGCCGACGAGGGAAAAGTTCTATTTGAAGGCTCAGGGTCGATTTCTCACTCAGTGGTTTTCTTCTTTCACTGATTTCACACACGCACAAATATTTGTAATTCTGCTCTAATTGGATTCCTTTTTTTTTCGTGTGTGTTCTCAGTCGGATTAAGATTAGCCAATTTTCTATTTCGAAGGCTTCAAGATCGTGTTACCGAATGTCGATAATATCATTATGATTTGTGTGTGTTACTTTGATAAGATGCCAATGTGTCTAAAATACCGGGAATCCCGTAATTAGTGCAAACACTAGACCTACCAAAATGGGCTTCTGTAGCAATCGCACAGGAGGTGTGAGTCAATTAGGAGCGCTAATGCTGCCAGTAAAGGTCTGAGATAGTCCATAATTTATATAGTCTGGATTTAGACCTATTTGTGCTCCTTTGATGTGGAATGAGTAATTGCCTCACTGATGTTCCTACACGGGAGCAATTAATTAGCTCATGCTTGAGCATTCCACGTTGGTTTTGGCTCCACTGAGAACGCACTGGATGCACAAAGATCTCTAAATCACGGTGCGTGAAGCTCATCCCGCATGCTCTTCGGCGATTCATCCGCGGTGGGATATATTCGTGCGACAGGCGTTTCCCACTATTGTGCGCCCCCTCAGTGCGCGGCGCAGAAATTAGAAGGTGGTGTGATCTTGTTGGCTTGATTAATTGAGTGCGTAGAGATTGCGATGCATGTTTTCTCACATGCGCAATCGCGCGGCTTTTGGGATCTGTGAGAAAACGGCCAGAACTGGGCGTCTCGGCTGGGGAGAGTCTCGCCACAGTGACCGCATCCAGCATAATTCACCGCATGCAGCGCCTGCATAATTTCGATTTCTTCGCTCATGCTTGAGTGTGTGCCCTTGAAAGAGGCGGCGCAGCCACGGTAGCACTGATTGCATTGGCAAATCCGTGCACACAATTGCATCGCGCGCCGGTGAGTGAATGGCAGCGATGCATCGCGGCAGCCAGACGACCGTCCGACCGCCGAAGACCCTCCACAAGGTATTCTCACTAACATACTTTCAGCGGACGAGCCCTTCTTCGCGCGTACTGCCCGGCAATCAGCAAATGCATCGTGCCATTATCACGTCTGCGCTATTGGCTGGAAGTGATGGACAATTCATTTAGCGAATTCCTGCTTCACTACCAGCTTTGGCCAGTTCTGGGTAGATTCGCCTCGACTATTTGCTCACGTTCGAACACACACTTCGCGAAATGCATACCTATTAGAATAATAAACGAAAGACTTGATTATTTAACATAACAGACTCTCAAAATAATATCGTATAATTAATGTACATGGCGTCAGTGGCAAAAGAAAACACATTTCCTCAAAGTGTTTGTATTCAATTGAACAAATTCAGCACTGTGATGACTAATCAAGACAGCTTAAATTATATTTTTCCAGAAACTCACTTCATAATTCTATCAGAGGAGAACATTCTAGCTATTTATCTATTGTGCTAGAGAGAATAGCATGAAATTTCATGCGAATTTTTGTAATTTTCAAACCACCTCAATTGCTGCTCGATGCAAAAGTGTGAAGAGCTCTTCTCGTGAGAATATTCAGGGAATCCATACAATTTGTGACCACTGACTTGAGACATAAGGTGCATTCGACGAGAACGTCAAAGGAATCGTTAAGCATTCCAATTGGATTCTTCAACTTAGCCACCCTTCTTTGGGCTTTGTGCAATGAAAATTTGGCAGACTTTTGCTGGGTGAAATGCTCTTGGTGAGCAGTTAAATGCAACACTCGTAAAATTGTGTCCATCAATAAAATTTAATTAGTTCTTTCCTCTACGCACATTTCGCGCGCGACTTTGCTGCGGTGGGGCGAATAAATTGTTCAAGATGAGTGTTTGGGTGCCAAATTTGGCCCGCATTTGGGCCTCATCACTCACGCTCACTCCGGAGATGTGTTCACAGCTGCGGACAAAAATGCACATTGCACCATCTGCAATTTTTACATTGGAGAGTGACGACTCTCGCCCCAAATGTGAGTCCCGGGCTTTTTTTTCTCTCTCTCTCTGTGCGGAAAAAAGCGCCTCTGGGCCGGGTTTTGCTCTCTAAAATAAATGTGCACACAGAAATTTTTCGGGGACACCAAAGTGTCGGAGAGTGTTCGTGCACACAGGGTAAAAAGAGCACTGGAAAGTCAATTTGTTAAATTCAATGTGATGGCCACATTTCGTGCTGGCTGCAATAAATTTAAATTACCACTGACAGTCTCATACGAAATGTGCGCTATTTTTTTTTATTCCACTGGAAACTAATTTTGACGAAATACTTTGCTGCAGAATTAATTGCTCGCGAGAAGATTGGAGATCGAATATCGCGCGGCATTCTGGAGCGTGAATCTCAACTCTATACAAGTCGCGATGAGCAAACACACTCACGCGGCATTTGCAACTCATGAGCTGCATTCATACAATTTAAATTGTGTACAAAATGTAAAATGCATCGCGCTGTTTGCTATTAACAAGTACAAATGGCTGTAAATTGTTTCAGACAATGTTCAATAATTTTGCGGTTTTTCTCCTGCGCCTCGTTGAACTGCTCTGGAAGGGAAGAGATGAGGAGTCACACATGAACAGAGCGATTTGTTCATTGAAGCCACTTCTGCATCCACTGCAATTCTCTCACTTCAATGGGATATTATCAAGTGGATAGGACGAGATAGCGCAAAAAAGCGACATTCATCCCATTAACCATCTTCTCCACTTTCATTTATTACTTGCGAAATACTTGGGCTGAATTGTTGCAATATCTCTCATTCTTTTTTCTCTCTTTTTTTCTTGCAATGAGACACACAACACATATTTTCTCATTTGTGCGCTCAGCGCGCTTGCAAACCATCAAAATCAACAAATTACTCAAAAGAGAGATGAGGATTTTTCTTTTCCCCATTTCTGCACTTTTCTGCAGACTTATCAGCTTTTTATTGCCACGGAAGAGTGTGTGTGTGTTGGGCTTTAATTGAGTTTCGTCTCTCCGGCGAATGCTTTCCTGTGAGAGGAGAGCAAAAGTGAAGGCAAAACATTTTGTGATAAACTTGATCTCGAGGTAACAACTTCAATACTCCCAATCACTGTGGTGGAATTCATTGGACGCGCTTATGCAAGAAGAGGTCAATGAGGAGAGGACAAGCCCTTAAACACATCAATTTTCGATGTAACCTCATCGATAATCACACATTCTGTAGCCAAGAACCTGTCTTTCAGTCAATCTATTCACTTTCCCAATTCGCACATTGCTCAATTGGCGCAAAATTTATTTTCAATTAAACTTGGGCACACAATAAAGTGGCCTGTCTGAGACTCCGAGCGGCGGAGCTTTCGCCTCCATGTCGGCGAGCTTACGGCAAATATTAAATATTTTCAGAATTGTCTGTGCCATTAAGATGGTGTTATTTTTAACTGCAATATGCGTGGGGGAACGATTACAAAATTCAGTCA